AAATAAATGGAAAGACATGTCATTTTCATGTCACTGGAAGACTGAATACTAAAATGCCACATATGTACATGTGTATGTTCTTAGTCATGTCCAACTCTTTGAGACCCCAGGGACTGTAGCCCACCAGCCTCCTCTGTCTATGGGATGCTCCAGGCAAGAATACTGGAGTGGGTTACCACTTCCTCCTCCAGGGGATCTTCCTGACACAGGGATCGAACCCGCATCTCTTACATCTCCTGCATTCACAGGCAGGTTCTTTACCTCCTGGGAAGCCCCTACAATTGAGAATTGCCTTTAAAAACATGTATCTTAACATAAACTTCACACTTTATATAAAAATTAACTCAAAACAGATCATAGATCAAAATGTAAAAAAAAAGCAAAACTATAAAAATTTTAGAAAAAAACATACAAGAAAACTTTAATGATCTGGAGTCAAAGAGTTCTTAGACTTAAAACCAAAAGCAAAATCTATAAAAATAAAAAAATTAATCAGTTGGACTTCATCAACATTAAAAACCTTTGCTCTGGAAAAGACACTGCTAAGACAAGCTGCAGTGAATGAAATAATGCCATTTGTAGCAACATGGATGAATCTAGAGATTATCATCCTAAATGAAGTGAAGTCAGAGAAATACCATATGATATTACTTACAGGTACAATCTAAAAATAAAAATGATACAAATGAACTTATTTACAAAACAGAAACAAACTCAAAGACTTAGAAAACAAATTTATGGTTACCAAAAGGGAAAAGTGAGGGAGGAGGGATAAAGTAGATGCTTGGGATTAACGTACACATACTATTCTGTATAAAATAGATAGCCAACAAGGACCTACTGTAGAGCAGAGAGAACTGCACTCAATACTCTGTTATAGCCCATATGGGAAAAGAATCTGAAAAAGACAGATATACGAATATGTGTGATTAAATCACTTTGCTGTGTACCTGAAACTAACACAGCTTGTAAATCAACACTCAGTTCAGTTCAGTTCAGTCACTCGGTCATGTCCAACTCTTTGCGACCCCATGAATCGCAGCACGCCAGGCCTCCCTGTCCATCACCAACTCCCGGAGTTTACTCAAACTCATGCCCATTGAGTCAGTGATGCCATCCAGCCATCTCATCCTCTGTCATCTCCTTGTCCTCCTGCCCCCAATCCCTCCCAGCATCAGGGTCTTTTCCAATGAGTCAGCTCTTCACAACAGGTGGCCAAAGTACTGGAGTTTCAGCTTCAGCATCAGTCCTTCCAATGAACACCCAGGACTGATCTTTAGGATGGACTGGTTGGATCTCCTTGCAGTCAAAGGGACTCTACTCTAACATAAAATTTAAAAATAAAAAAAGACAAGCTGCAGACAGGAAGAAAATATTAGCAACTCACACACCTGAAAAAAGGATTTCTAATTAAAATATATAAAGAATACTTAAAACTTAACCATAAGAAAACAAACCACCCATTTGGAAAATGGGCAGAGTGCCTGAATAGACACTTCATGCAGTAGACTATTCAAATGTCAATAAGCACATGAAGAGACGCCAATATTATCAGTCACTAGAGAAATGGCACTTAAACCAAAATGAGATATCATTCCACACCCATTAGAGTGACTTGGAGACAGATAAACAAAACTAATAATATTAAGTGCTGGTGAAGATGCAGGTAACTAGGCTTTTTATGCACTGCTGGTAGGAACGTAAAATGATAAAACTGGATGGAATATAGCCTAGCTGCTTCTTACAAAGTTAAAGATAAATTTACCAAATGACCCAGCAATCCCACTGTTAGATATTTACCCAAGAGAAATGAGTGTTCACTTTCCACAAAAAGCTGTATGGGGAATGTTTACCACAGCCTTAGTCATAGTCACCCAAAATTGGAATCGACACATGGGAGTCGTTAAGTTCAATGGCTGAGGTGACAAACCGTGATATGTCCACACGATGGAATACTACCCAGCAACAGGAAGGAACTGTGAGTTCCCAGAATGACATGGAAGAATCTTAAATACATTATGCTAAGTTAAAGAAGTCAGAACCAAAAGCCTATGTACTTTGTGCTTCCAGTTATATGACACTATGAAGATGAAAAACTATAATGATGAAGAACAGATCAGTGATGCCAGGGGCTGTGGTGGGCAGACATGTGCCTACATAGGGCATCATGATGTCATTTTGGAGTGGTGGAACCGTTCTGTCTCCTGACTGTGGTGGAGATGGCCAAACATAGAGCATAGATCTACGGTTAAAATCATGAAAATGTACACTAAAGACATTTTTTCCCCAACAAAGCCTAAAAAGCAATGTATCCAATGGGAGTAGACAGTCAAAAGAATGAATCTCTAACAGTGGATTTTGGAACCCTGTGACAACTGATCTCAAGGAGAGGTTTTGGAGAGAGTGAAATATTCTGAAATACTATAGCATCTGCATCCCACAGCCAACGAGGGGGTTGAGAGCCACCATGGGGGAGAAGGGTGAGGCATGGGGCTTTGTTAAGTGTCTTTCCTTTCTTGTCTCCCCAGCAAGGCTGTTTCTCTTCCCAGGGCGAGACCACAGAGTGGGCAGCGGTGTTGGAAAAGGGCCCCCACTTATGGGATCCCCACACTGCTCAACCTCCCCTCCTTTACCAGGACCACCGGTTCTCCACCAGCACATCTCAAAAGTCTTTCAAAGTGACTCAGGACAGACATGACGAAAAGCCAGACAGGGACTGGGGGTGAGATTCCCCAACCTACACAGGGCTTTGGGCAAAGGACAGTTTCACTAGAATTTTTAAACCAACTTCCATGGAGAATCCCTTCTGCTCCCTTTCCCTCTCACCAAGCCCAGTGAGGCAGGTGCTTCTGCAGGTAAAGAAATCAAGGTTTAGAGGATAAGGAACTTGAGGAAGCCTGGGCAGGGCAGGGCAGGGACAGGACCCAGGTCTCCCCTGAGAACACAGCCTGAAAGAGCTTACTTCCCTGTCTGAAAAGCGGATGCAAACCTCTGAGAACTGCCAAGGTCTCACCTTGTCCAGGTAACCTTGAGAGAGCAAGAGCAGGACAGAGCCCCCCAGCATCCTGGCTCCCCTGCGCCCTCTGCTGGCCCGGGGTGGGGGCCGACTAAGGGACGCAGCGACCTGTGCTCCTGGCTGTGCACTCCGGGCCTGAGGCTCCGTTTTGTAATCTGCAGTGGGCAGCCCCACTGTTCTGCAAGGTGGGTTCCCTGCGGGGACCTTCTGCGGCCTGGTGGTCGAGTGACTCCCTGCAGTGGCAACTCACCCCCTTCCACACTAACATGGACCAAGTTTGGTCTAAACTAAATTCTCCCTTCCTGCATCCCAAGGGCTTCTAAGTGGCCACCGATATGCCTGCTTGGTTCAGATATTCAGTTCATGGGTGAGAGTCTGTAGAGAAGGGAAAAGGCTTGGAGCCAGAGAGAGAGAGATGAGGCTGTGTGACCCTGAGTAAGTGGCAATCTCCCTGGACCTCAGCTCCCTCATCCACAAAATGGGGGTAGTGATAGTTCCCAACTCACAAGGCTGCTCGGAGAATAAAGAGCCTGGGAGATGCTTAGCAAAGAAACAGGCGTTCATCCGTCACTCGGCAAGCTTTCCTTCTGAACAGCAACCCACTCCAGGAGTCTTGCCTGGGAAATCCCAGTGACAGAGGAACCTGGCGGGCTACAGTCCATGGGGTCGCAGACTCAGACATGACTGAGCGACTGAACACACACACACACTGCCGTCACTGTTATTGCTGTGGATGGTGTTGTTGGGGTAGCTGCCCTACAACTCAGAGAACACGTGGTCACAGAGGGAGGGGTCTCCGGTTTTCAGAACCAGTCTGGTGATAGCTGGCTTGGAATTCAGCAGGTCCAATCTCACCTTTGAAAGTGCACTTTTAACTGAATTCTTTTTTCTTTTTCCGCAGCACTGCTGCAGCATGTGGGATCTTAGTTCCCTGACAAGAGATCCAACTGGTTCCCCCTGCTTTGGAAGTGAGGAGTCTTAACCACCGGACCGTCAAGGAAGTCCCTTTAATCTGCATTTTTATCTTAATTTTTACTAACTATCAGTCCTTGCTGCTTGATGTAAAAGTGAATCTGTTCAAGTATATAAATCCATCTGGATTCCAGTAGCCACAAGTCAGGGAGAGAAAACCTAAGGGCAAGCTGCCTGTAAGTTTGGGAAAGAAACTTAGTCCCAAATCTAAGGTCCCCCACGCTCAGAGTGAAGCTGCTTCAGGCACCTCCCTGCCCACCCCTACCTGGGAAGTGCTGTGAACTGCTAAGAAAGTTGGTGGTGGGAGCCACAGGCTTAAATTGGCTATTATGATGTTAGTTGCTCAGTCCTGTCAGACTCTTTGTGACCCCATGGACTGTAGCCCACTAGGCTCCTCTGTCCATGGGATTCTCCAGGCAAGAATACTGGAGTGGAGGGTTGCTATGCCCTGCTCCAGGGGATCGTCCCCACCCAGGGATCAAGCCTGGGGCTCCCACATAGAAGAGGCAGATTCTTTACCATCTGAGCCACCGGGGCTATATCCCCAGTACAAAATGTTTTTGGTGTTAAAAAAAATTTTTTTTTTTAAAGTTGGTGGGAAGAATGATATTTCCGTTAGAAATTTAAGTGTTGGAAGTTGGAGGCAGGGGACATCCTCTACTCTAATCGGGTGAGCGGCGAGCTTTTCTGGAGACCCGAGGAGGACCACCGTCTCAGGAGTTCTTCTCAGACAGAGTCTACTGTCTCTGTCTCTGTCTCTGTCTCTGTCTCTGTCTCTCTCCCCGCCGCAGCGGACCGAGGCTCTCACACCAACTGCTCAGACCAGCCCGGGTCTTCCCTGACGCCCGGCCCGCGATGCATCCGATAACATGCGGGAACGGAACCCCAGCCCCAGCCTGGCTCCAAGCCCCCGGCCCGAGCATTCCGGTGGAATGCGGAGAGCCAGATACTTCGGCCTCGGCGTGGCCTCCCCTGCAAGCAGGATCAGGGAACTGGAGGGAGGGACACTGACCTGGGAAGCCCGCGATTCGGGGCAGGCGAGGAAGAGCAGCAGAAGGAAGAGCGCCCGGGGACACTTGGGCACCATCTTTGCCAACAGGAACCTTTCTGTTTGGGAAGGGGAGATAACTTGGTCTGCCGCCCCCGCCGAGGCTGTCTCAACCGATGCCGCGGCCGCCCCTGCGGGGAACCGGGCTCCGCTCGGCCCGGATCGGCTCGGGTAGGGAGGGAAGCGGGAGCCCGGGAGCGCAGCTCGGCCCGCCGCGCTCGGGAGGCGCAGTCCCGGATCCAGGTGCGCCGCGCGCGGACCTGGAGCTCTCGCGGCCACGAGCGTCCGCTGCCGCCCGCACGAGACAGTCCCGGGGAGGCGGGGAGGCGCCGGCCCCTTGGCCAAAGCCGAGGAGGAGGGGCTGCCCGGCCAGGAATGCGCCTGGGAGCGCGCCCAACCCGCGCGGCTCCCGGAGGAGGCCCGGCGCGACGCAGAGGACGAGCGCCGGCATCCTGATCGCCTTCGCGGGGGAGGCCGCCGAGGCGGCGCACACGTGCGTGCGGAGCCCGCGAGCCCGTCCCCGGGCCGGGTCGCTCCTGACCCGCCCCTTTCCAGCCCGGGGACACTGAGGCTGACCTCATCCAGCAGCAAGTGAGATTCAAATCCAGGTCTGTCCAACTTCAGAGCGAGCGCGCGCGCGGACGTCTTCCTCCACGGCACTCGGAAGACAGGACAGTGTGGGCGCGAGATGGACTTCATGAACTTAGCCCGAGTTCTCCAGCCGAGAACTGCTATCGGAGTACAAGAACACTCACGCACAGTGACTCAGAACCAACAGCCCGCCTCATCTGCCGCCCTCCCCTCCCCAGTGGAAGGAGAAACCGTTTGAACTGGGAGGCAGGGCTATGGGAACACCGGATGCTTTGCTGAGGCTCGGTGGGACACGCCGCTGGGAAGGACAGACATGAGCAGTCTGAGTCCCCCTTCATCCAAGGGCTGTGGGAGGATCCAGATGGCCTCCGCTGCAAGCTCCTGGAAAACACTGTGTAAGTTCTCACTGGAAGAATGTTTTCAGAAGGCAACACTGCAGATGTCGTGGTGCACACCAAGTCTGGCCAAGCCTCAGATGTGTTTTCCCTTTCCAAACTTCATTTAGCGGAGCCCACTCAGAGCTCAGGGCACGGAGCTCAGAAGGCATGTAGCCTTAGAGCCGAACTGTTTTCTTTTGGAAGGCAGAGGGGAAACTTGGAGCCCCGTGGAAAACGAGGGGCCTGCTGCAGGCTGGCCACCTGGGCAGACATTACCCAGGAAATCCGGCTGGGCTGCCCCTCCACCTTCCTGCGGGAGGAAGGGGAGCGTGCCTGTGTGCTATTACCTGCATTCCTGGGGAGGCGGCCTGAGGAGACACAGAGCACACTGCTCCTCCCCGCCCGGGTAGAGGGGGCCAAGGAGCCTGGGGCGGATCCCCCACAGCCTGTGGAAACTGTGGTATTTCTGCCTCCATCGCCCATGTCTGCTGTCTTTGCCAAAGCTCAGTGTCCCCATCTTTGTATTCTCCCCTCCTCCACCCCAGAGAAGAATTTCTTCTGGTCAGTGAGGCTGTGTCTATTTTGTGTTTTATCCCACCTTATGTTTACATGGCAACTGCCACCCCCAAAACCAAGGCTTCTCAGCCGGTGCCTGCTGTGAGCTGGAGCCAGGCAGAAGTGCCTGAGAACTTTTCTCCTGCCCTGCCCTCTGAACGGATGCACGGGCTTGGAGGACACTGCCGAGTTCACCAATGAAGAAACAAAAGCTGGGAGTGGCCGAGTGACTGGTCTGTGGTTTGCAGACTCAAGGGTCTCCAGAGCAGGGCTGTTTCCAGGACAGGCTACCTTCAACCTTCATCCCACAAATTAAATACTTAAATATTCAGTCATAGGATTTCAGAAACTTTGCTTACAGGAACAGAGTTTTTCCTGGTTTCTGGCTTCCTTCATTGCTTTCTCTCTCTCGCTTTTTCTCCCTTGCTCCCCTCTTCTCTTCTCTTCTTCCACCTCCTTTTCATCTTCTCATTCCCCTTCTCCTTTTTCTTCCTCTACTTCTTTACTTTTCAAGCATTCCTAAGTTTCAACACAGATTTTTTTTTGTACTTACCAATTTTTTCCCTTGTCCTGCGGCTGACTTCTCTCCAGTGCCCTCGCGTCTGGTCGGAAGTGACCTTCTAAGGTCCCGCTGCCCCCGCAGTACTGCGCCTTGTCTCTGTGTCCTCAGTAGTCCATGACCTGTGGTCATCAACAGCCCCTCCGAAGCCCATACCTGCCAAGGCTGCTAAGAGCAAACAGACTGTGAAAATAAGCCATGGGCTACTCAGGGTTCCACAAACTAACCTTTGCATAAATTGGCTCTGATGGGCCTGCACGGGGGACAACACAAGAAGGGAACCAATATTTCTTGAGCACCAGCTGTATGCCATATCCTCTATTAAGCATTTCATGAATACTCTAGTTCATCCCGTCACAACCCAGCAAAATGGGTCCTATTATTATTTCCGTTTGGCAGATTGGGAAACTGAGGCTTAGCGTGCTTAGTTGCCCAAGATCAAACATCAGGTTAGTGATCGGGAGAAACAGGATTTGCACTTGAATGTCTCTGGTCCCAAGGAGCACGCTTTCTGCTGCAGTTGAAACTAAACACAAGAATTTGCTCATTATTCTTGTTGGCCAGTGTTTGATATTTTCAAAGGCAAGTATATAAAAATTAGCTTTAGGGGTAATTTTTCAGGGATGTATTTTCACTGCAAAGATTACACCTATACAAGTTAGGCCTATTTACAATAACCTCCAAGGAATTGTTGAAATTAATAACTGGGCCTATTTGTCCTTAATATTGTTCAAAATAGGACAGTTCTGCCAGGTGACGCTCAATTTGCCCCTCCGGATGCATTCTGCCCTGGAGGGCAAGCTGAAGGGATGGCATTAACACCCTTGGGTGCTCTCTGTCCTCTGGTTGTGTTTGGAGTCTGGGAATGCGCAGTGGGAGATCCGATGGAGAAGGGTGGGGTCCTGAGGCTGAGTCAAGCTGGCTGTGTCCCTTGACAGAAAATCACTGTTCTTTACAAGGCAATCTCTTCTCCACCCCTCTCTTCCCTTGGCATTCCCACAGCCCCTCCCCTGTCCTGGGCCAAGGGATACCAACAGCGCCTTCATTAGTGGCCCTGGCATAGGGCAGTCCTCTGGTTGGCATTTGTACATCCTGTCCATATCCTGTAAATAAATGGTCCACAAATTATCCTAATTTGAGCAAGCCATTTCTTGGCTTTTGACTGATAGAGTGACCATTGTCAATGAATTGAAAACATTTGTTCCCTTCAGACTGTCCTCTAACAGGAAACGAGGTGAACAGACACATGATGAAGCTTGTGCATACAGTCAGGTGGAGGCAGTAAGAGGACACTCGTAATCTTTTCCCTTACTAGTCAATCCTGCCTTGGTCTAGGGCTGTAATACACCCAGGTAGAAATGCCCGAGCACTACCTCTTTACACTCCCTTGGCTGTGCGACCCAGTTTTCACTAATGAGATGTAAGTAAAGCTGAGCAGACGGGCCCAGTTTCTTGATAAACAGAAACAGTCTCAAAGATGTGTGTCCTTCTTCCTCTTGCTTGGAGCGTGGACCCAATGCTTGAAATTGCAGCAGCAACTCCATGACTGTGAGATTATAGTCAAGTGCTTAGGACGCAGGTTTAGAGAGAGAAAGGGCATATGTTCATAGCAGCACTAGTCACAATTCGCAAGTCAGGGAAACAACCCATATGTCCATTGAAAGATGAATGGAAAAAGAAGATGTGGTACATATATGCAATGGAATACTACTCAGTCATAAAAAAGAATGAAATAATGCAGCAACATGGATGGGCCTATAGATTATCATACTAAGTGAAATCAGAAAGCAAAAGACAAATATCATATGATATCACTTATATATGGAATGTAAAATATGATGCAAATGAATTTATCTACAAAACAGACTCACAAAGAACAGACCTGTGGTTGCCTAGTGGGGAGGGGTGTGGAGGAGGGATGGACTGAGAGTTTGGAATTAGCAGACGCAAGTGTTACATAGAGAATGGATAAATGACAGTGTCCTACTGTATAGCACAGAGAACTATATTCAATATCCTGTGATAATGGAAAAGAATATGAAAAAGAATGCATATATACATTTGTGTATATATACGTATGTATAACTGAGTCACATTGTTATACAGCAAAAATTAACACAACGTTGTAAATCAAATGTACTTCAATAATCTTTTTTCAAAAAAGCAAGCAGAGGGAGCTTGCTTCTTTAATGATCTCTTTGAGACGTGACGGTACTGGGCCTCTTCTGGATGTCTTGTTACCTAAGAAACATTAAACCCCTGTTGGGTTAAGTCACTGGTAGTTGGGTTTCTGTTTCATGAAGTGGAACCAAATCTATGAGTCCATGAGGATGTAAATACATAGCTGAATAAAAATAAAGGGAGGAGAAACAACTCTTCTTTATAGGAAAATTACAATCAGTAAATATAGAAAAAAAGTGTGAAAATTAGAAAAGTACCATTCAAGCACTGCGGTAATAACTGCTGCAGGCATGATCCACCAATGAATACTGAAATCAGTGAGTAAGTATTTAAGCAGAAACAAGAATTTTGCATTGTCTCAAAGTATCTTCCCCCAAGTACCTACATATATTAGAAATGGAAAATTTTTAATTTACAGTAGATCAATGAGGCAATATCCTGTACCCTCTGACCTGAGGCACAAACATGTGTGGCTTCTGTGACATTCTTTTGCCAAAAATGGGTAACTTCAACCTAATCATGAGAAAAAAAATTAGATAAATGCAGATGGAGATACACACAGCAATGCAAAATTGGCAGAATTTCATTCTTCTTTATGTCTGAGTGATACCCCGTTGTATGTATGTGCTGCATCTCTATCTGCTCACCTGTTGGTAGACACTTAGGTTGCTTCCACATCTTGGCTATTGTAAATAATGCTGCTACGAACACTGGAGTGCATGTATCTTTTAAAATTATTGTTTTCATTTTCTTCCTATATATATCCAGGAGTGGAA